CTTATATTTTAGAAATGTGATTAGGTAATTAGTAAATTAAAAGAATAAGCTGCTAAAATTGTAAGAGCTAGTTATATCTGCAAATGCAGTCCTCAGTAACTTGTATATTTATAAATGACTCAAGAGTTCTCCCCTAAATGTACCAAGACACTAACTGAAATTCATTTTCTACAACCACACCTCAACTCTCCTTTACTTACCAAAATAACTAAATATAGGAGACTTCATGGCTTTGTCCCCAAAATAAATTCTGCATCTATTTACCTTTTTTCAACATTCCAGATTGTCTACCCTTAATATTGCTGATCCTCTAATCTGAAATGTCTCATTTATTTTTATATTTGTTGTATACTAGGGCGAGGACAGGCAGGTAAAGATTAGGCTGTGTGCTATCCAGAGGCTGGAAATTGAAACCCCCTGTTTCTTACGGTCCAGGTGTGGTGCAGACAGCCTAGGTCTCCACATTTCCTCACTGTGCCCTAAAAATGACCTTAACCCTGACATAGAAAGAGAAGCACATCACTGTGAGTAGCTGCTTCTGGCTGGCTGTGTGGGAGAGAGCTGTTTTCTGAGCACCGGGGTTGTATTGCATTGCTCCCCCCTGTGCAGAAACACTTCCAGTCTCTTCAAGTTGACCTGGGCTCTCTGAAGCCATAGACAGGTCAAAGTTGAACTTTGGTGCCCATCCAACTCACTCTATGAATTTTCTCCATGAAGCAGTGAGAAAGTGACTCAGATCAACTCCTTATTCAATCTTTAATTTGTTGGAAAGAATTGCTTTCTTTCATAGTTTTTTACCCAAACAAACTCTGCCTTTTTTGCTTCTTGCTCTGTTCTTATAAATAACAAAATAAGTAAGTGCAAATATATGTGGCATGTACATATGTGTGTTTTGTACAAAATAATCAAGCTAAAACAATGATCATCCCCATAAAACGCATTTCCCTTGTATTGCTTAATCAACTTTCATATTTTCCAACCTTCATAAATTTTGAACCTGACAATGATAACAAAAATGTCTTTTTTGGCTCTTTAAAGAATATAAGTTCTTGAATTTTCCCATTTAAGACAGATGTTCATTTTAAATAATGTCTAGGTTTTATGAAGTCCAGGTAGGAGAATTCTTTCATTTATTCCTCTGTTTTCTGTGGATTGAAGGAAAGAAAGGGATCCAACCATGGGATGAAAGAGTTTAAGTAAATGGAATTCTCTTTACCAAAATTTATTAAAGCAACATGGACAGGTTCTATTCTTTTATTTTAAATGACTGGATAAAGTAAGTTTTATAGAGTATTACTTGCAACCATTGAATTAAATTCAAGTCTTGTGTAGTATAATTCAAATCTTATGCAGTTCATCCTCTTCTTTTCAAGAAAGTGCTATTTTAGGGAAAGACCCATTTCTCAAATGTTCACCTTGTTTTCTCTAGTAAGTCTCCAACATGCATATGACTCCCTGAAATCATCTCTTCATTTTTCAGTGCCTCCAAATACTGAAAATATGAAATAAAGGAACAAGAAATCTGATTGGTTTCATGGGATGCTTGGAGGATCAACATCAGCCAGTGGAAGTGTGACAACTTAGCAGATGTAAAATGGTCAGACCTAAAGTGGACAACCTGATCTGGCATGAGCAATATTGTCTTGCTTTTTCTTACTTAATATAAAGTAAAGGAGTTTCCCAATAGCTTGGTGGGCTCACATTGGCCTATACCTATGTATTAGATATTACAGATCAGCTTGTCCTTTGCTCACAAGTACTTCCTTACAAAGTGACCCACAAGAGAACCAGTTTCTATTGAAGATCAGATTTTATGCCATTACCACATCAAGCATTTATATACTGAAGGGAATGTTTATGAACTGATTTTGAATATTCAAAATAATGATTATGTAAGTGGATGACTCATCACAGATTTCAGGACATATGACTTACATTTAAGTATGCTTAAAAGGTGACCTTTCATCTCATTCTCAAAATCCTGGCCTCAACGAATAGCAGACCACTGGCCTTAGACATGCCAGTACAGTTGGCTTTGGGCTTCCTTGGCTTCAGCAGAGAAGAGCTGGCTTAAACAATATATATTCAGGACCTGTCCCTGTGGAGACCATGGCTCCATTACCATGGGCACTGGGCGGGGGGGTGGGGGGAATGCAGGTTTTTATTCCTTCCACTTTCTTCCTTGTATGCCCTTTCTGAAAATTTATTTTCATTAGTAATTAGATTTAAAAATTCTTACCAAGATACCAGTCTAAATTGATGCTTTTTAAATGCCTGCAATATCTAACACATAGGCATAGCCCAGTGCAAGCCCACCATGCTATTGGGAAACTCCTTTGCTTTCTATTCAGTAAGAAAAATCAAGACAATATTGCTCATGCCAGATCAGGTTTTGACTGGTATGTGCGTATCCTTTATATAACAAGTGTATTTTATAAGAAAAAACACAAGGGAAATATTTTTATTTATTTTATTAGTTGTACAAAAGCCATGTTGGCAACTGAAGAACCAATAAACTAAAATTGTCTCATGTGGTTCTTATTATGGAATCAAATAGTAATGTAAAAGGCAAGCACACACCAATCATAACCCCATCTGGCTGAGAGAACAGGAAAATGTGGCTCCATTTTCATTAGTAAAGAGAGGCATGTATTTCATGACGTGTTCAAGCCAGGCTTTAAAGTCACTCCCCGTACACTACTGAGCTTTGCACCACTCACAGGGTGCCATACCTACTGATAGAAGTCAATGTCATCAGCATTTCTTGGAGAGTGAAGGCTGCTCTGTCTTATAATGACATTAAGAGAACATCACCAGACACTATAGCACTATTTGTTGGCATTCTAGGAAAGAAAGCATGCTGAACCGGTGCATGACATATATTGTCTTTTTCAATATACATATGGTTTATTTGCAGCAAGTAAGTTGACATGCATGTAACCACCAAAAATTCACATCAAAATGTTTAGAGTCTTTTTAATAACCAGACAAAACCATTTGATTCTAGAATCAAAAGACTGCACACATAAGTATTTTCTAAATTCCTTCTGTGTTGTTTTCACTTTATCACTAAGAAACTAGAAGAATGACCACTATCAGTGGAAGACAGGGATCCATTTGAAGTGAATTCATTAGTGCACTGTCAGCAAGACAGTGCACTAATGAATCCCTGGGACAATAAAGAATGACTATTTGTATCTCTAGGAAGTGTTGGAATGTAAAAGAACTATTCTTTATTAGAAACTAGAAGAGCCAGGCATGGTGGTGCATGCCTGTAATCTCAGCCACCGAGAGGTTGAGGCAGGAGGATAGCAAGTTTGAGACCAGCCTCAGCAACTTAGTAAGGTCCTCAGAATATTAATGAGTCCCTGTCTCAAAATAAAAAGTAAAAAGTTCTGTCAATGTAGCTCAGTGATAAAGTGCCCTTGCATTCAAATTATATTTAAAAAGAAAAGAAAAGATATAGGAAAATAGCAGGCCCCAAGAATCATGGCCCTCTGTGGAAAATGATTTTCTAAACTTTTTTGCTTTTAGGGTCTTTAAAAAATAAAAACAAACAAATAAAAGCTTCTTCTTGTGAATATAGATGGTTAAGTGATCATATCAACCAGAAATGAGTCTGTGTCTCCTACTTTTGACTCATGTGGATCATAACTGGGATGGAACTAGTTCCCTATCCTGAACTTAAGTTTAAGAGTACAGAAGAAATGATGAATTAGTTCTTGACATATTTTGTTAAATAGGTCTGAGACTTAATGTATGACATGGATTTATATGTCAGAAAAATAAGTACAGGAGAGGACTCAACCCACACAAAAGTTCTGGATTTATAATCCTATTTAAACATCTATACATTTTGTAAGCACTCATTTAAAATATGGAGTTAATAAACCAAAAAATAATGAAATTTATGTTTTTAAAAAGTTAATGCAGTATTTTCATCTTCAGCATCTGTAATTAATGAATGTGTCACAAATATATACTACCAGATCTATTAAATGTTTGACTAAAAATAATTATTGAAATTACAATATCCCATTACTACAACTGAACACTTACCAATCATAGAAGATAATTTTAGATTAATTTTCCTAAGGATTAAGAGTACATCCTAATTGAAGAATTTTTTTCTTTGCCTAATTGGGGTATATCATATATGGAACTATTGGCAATCATGCATAAAAAAACCTGACTGACTTTTGACAAATTTTTTTCTCCTTTACTGAGTAAGACTGACTTAAAAAAAAAAAAAAACTAATGAGTTCTTGGCTCTGCATCAGGAGATCTTGGGCTTGAATACTAGATATGCCAATTACTGCAGTGATATTATTTACCAGATATCTTTCTTCTGGAATTCACAGAAGGAGATCATGAGGATATATTGTTATCATTTTATCCACAAAGCCTATTCCAGTGTGAGACATAGAATAGATGTCTAATACATATTTTTAGAAACAAAAAGTGGGTGAACAAGTATCTAAGCTTCATTTTCCTTGTTGATAAAATATTAATACTTATTTTAAGAACTAAATATACTATTATATCACATGGAGCAATTCTTTACATTCCATAGGTAGATATTAGAAAGTTTTCTACCATTCATTTATTTAATGGATCATTCATAAATTTTTAGAAAACTGTTTTTTGTCAATCTGTTGCTTTCTTTGACTGTACTTGGCAACAAGTCTGCCCCTTGAGGGTGAAAATGAGGTAAATTAGAAGACAGAAGAAGAATGTGAATTCAGAAATTATATCATACAAATTTGGAAGACACACACACATCAAAACATTTGGTTTCAAAGAATACACAAAGCCTAACCAATGTTAATATGTTTCCACTGAATCCCTAGAAGGCTTTTGTACACTTTCCAAATATGAGTAGATCATATTAAAAAAAAAAAGAAACATTTCAATTGATTTGAATTCAACATAATTTGAGAGAGAGAAGCATGAGGACAACTTTATTTTCTTTCATGTAGATAACAGGATTTTTTTTTTTCTTGAGACTTGGTAGCCATTTAATAGATCAGCATGAGTAGGAAAACAGACCAGAGTGAAAAAGGAAGTATCGTCAGGTCATGTTAATGCCATTGTCGAGTGACCTACAGCAACAGAAGGAAGGGAAAGGATCAGAGAAGTCACTTGGTGAAGTCAATAGCACTGCAGATGTGGAGACAGAAATAAACCACAGCAGCCTACAGTGTACGCCTGCCAGGCACCGCCGCCCTTACGGAAATGCTAGCAGCAAGGATGAAGGCCCATGTTTCCTGTCTCAGCTTTGGGGACTGCATATATGAGTAGCCCCGAGCCTCCTGTATATGGGCCACTGATTAATCCTTTGAACAGCATTGCTTCTGTTTCCAAAGGCCAGACTGGAGCTCAGCACTGAGTCCCTGCCAAGCCACTAGAAAGGAAAACCAGAACCGGCGCTGATCTTTCAGCACTGTGTTCCCATCTACAATGTTTATTTCTCTAAATCTTTTAACAATTAAAATACTCTCAATTAGTATACAAGTATCTTTATGATTTGCTATATTCTTTCAACTTTCAGTGTAACATTATTTATTTTAACTTCAATTTACTTTTGATGTGGGGCATGTATACAATTTACCACAGAACCCATTTTAACATTTAACAGCACGCTTCCTTTTTCCTTTCTCAAACTATTTTAAATCACATGTTTTACATTTTCTTTGGATTCAGATATGTTTTCAGCAGATAGACAGTAAAACAAACAGAAATAAATTGATTTTGGTAAACAGCGGAGATGTAACAAGGCAAAAGTTCAATTTACACTTTTCATGTTTCTCTTGTCCTTTTTTTTAGCCAAAGGATGTAATTTTTATTTTAACAGATACGATAATCTAAACTACAGGCAATAGCCAGACTGCTACAATCTAGCTTTTCTTCATTTGAAGGATGGTCTTTTATTCAGCCTGAATTGTCACTTCCAGCACTTCTTTAATGATTTGGACATGTTTGGGAGAGAAGCAGGTTATAATACAAAATCTCTTTTTTCTTAAAATACAAAGCATATCTAACATCACCACCAACAATAAAAAATTCCTTGTTAAAATTGAGTGAACTGAAAAGAAAAATAAAAGCTGAAATAGCCTTTGATTCTATTTGGATCAAATCAAAGTCAGATTACATTTCTAACTACCTACTAAACATGGGTCCCTTCCTCCAGGAAACCAGTTTTATCACTAGATGTTTCAAATGGCTGATGAGGAAAACTTTCTCTCTGTTTGAAGGTGTTTTAAGCAAGTAGTATCTTGAAAAACAAAAATAGAAGGCTAATGATGCTCCACGTATGGTTTGGGAATCCTTGTCTCCCCAGGAATTCCTATTATGTTAAATGATGTGTGGTTAAAGCTTTAGATGCCTTCAAATAAAGTACTATTTGAATGCTTTTCATATGTTACTTCATTTATTCCCTCCAAATACACATTAAAGCAGATGATTTCTGTATTACACTTGGGGAAATGGGGGCCCAGAGAGGATAAGTAACTGGCTTGCAACCACATAGAAGACTCATCATTTAACACTAGGTGTGACAGATCAGCCCAAGAATGTTCTAAGCAGTAGAGCTGCTTGCCCATCACCACATTCTGAAGGAGTGTGCTGGCACACGTCACAAAAGACAAGGAAGCACATCAGTTCTGCCTTGTCCCTGTCACTTCCTTTACTTAACTAGAGTTCCTTCTCAACCCAGTTGAAAGCTGGAACCCCATTTTCTGGGCAAGTTTAAAAACTTATATGGCTGCATAGCAAATTGTCACCAACTTAGCTTGAAACAACATCCATCTATTAGCCTGATTCAGTGTATCAGACTGGCAAGACTTGGCTGGGTTCACTGCTCAGGGTGTCATCAGTCTGTCATCGAGGTGCCTGCTGGACAGCACTCTCTTCTGGAGTCTCTGGGGAGAATTCCTTCTTGTGGGAAAATTCAGTTTTTTTCAGCTGGAGGACTGATGTCCCCATTTTTTTTACTGACTATTAGCACCAGGGGCTACTGTCAATTCCTGGAGATCCTTCCCAGGTCCTTTCCTTGTGGCCTCCATAGGTAGTTCACAGAATGCATGGTTGCTTGCTTTCAGGCCAGATCTTGTTTCTTTTCTCTTCTTCTGCTATCTGGTGGAGATTATGTTTGTAAAAGGCCGTGTGACTCAGTTAGACTCATAATTAGGCATAATTTACCTTTATAAAATTCAGCTGTAGTATATGACCTACTAACCTAATAGCTGAGGCAAATATCCCTTCTCTTCACAGTCTTAGAAATCAGAGTTTGAATCTTTGGGACCATCATAGACTCTGGCCTGCCACAGCGAGATAGCATCTAAAGTTATTCTGATTTTTCAAAGTGACAGTTCAGTAGGATAGAATATATCCAGATAGCATACATTCAAAATTATTATCATCATGCACATAATTATATCATTGATGGGAAGGAAAGCATAATAAAGCATTTGGGACTAATAGTGTATATGTGTCACTATAAAGAATATATACATAATTTACTGTATTTAATTTCTGGTTAATATTGCTCATATACTAGTGTCTCTCTCTCTATATATATATATCTCCCTCCCTCTTCCTTCCTTCCTTCCTTCCTTCCTTCCTTCCCCCCCCTCTTTCTTTCTTTCTTTCTTCTCCCCCCACCACTGTGGTACTTGGAATTGAACCCACAGTGCTCTACCGCTGACTCTATCCCTTTTTGTTGTTTGAGACAGGATCTTGCTAAGTTGCCCAGGCTGTCCCTGAACTTGCAATCTTCCTTCCCCAGTCTCCCAAGTCCCTGAGATTACAGACCTGTATCACCGTGTACGGCAATATGCTAGTACTTAAATTTAAAAATGTTCATATAATGCTAGTCTTTTATCAAAATTGGTCCTATTGTAGTATTTGTACAGAGGAAACAAGTGGAATAGGTGAATAATAGTAATTTCTATAAACTTGTGACTGCTCTGCACCCCCGGTTTTCTCCTTTTTGAGTAGGAGTGTGTAAAGAGGCCACTCTCTGCCTAATTTCTCATTGACTATTGGATATTGGAGAGCAGATAATTCATCTCATGTCTTCATGTTTATTAGTCTTATGCCTGGTTCTCATGTCTTGAGGTCAAAATGAGTGTCATTGAGGAAGTTGTCTTTGAGGAACTGCACCCTGGGAACCTCATCTGTACTTCAATTAATTTAGATAAAGGATTAACTAGAACAGATGCCATGGTGGATTGAGACTTGGGAATCTTGGGGGGGAAATGAGTGCTTCATGCATGTGGGAAGGTAGGAGGAATATGAGCTTTGATAGCCAGAGGGTGGGCTGTGACATGCTGTGTTTTGAAAAGATAAAATACATTCTCTCTTTTTAAAATGTATGTCTCTGCTGTCAAATAAAAGTTCGACCACATTTCTAATTGCCTGCAAAATCTCCATCTGCCTCCCATTGAGTCATGAAGTCTGTGTTCCCTCTTCTTGTACCAGAGAGGCTTTTATGACCACAGGGGAAGTGATGCTACTAGACTTTGAGGCTAAAACATAAAAACACCATGCACCTGCCACCTGTTCTTGGGACACAGCCACCATGCTGTGAGGAAGCCCCCACTAGTCTATGCAGACTGCAGGAAGAGACCACACATATGTTTTCTGGTCCACACCCAAGTTGAGGATCCAACCAACAGCCAGCACCAACCACCAAACATCTGAGTGAGGATGGCATGTAAACAAAGATGCCTCCAGATGATTTTAGTCCCTGCTGCAGTGTTAGGCTTCTCAAGTGAAAGCTCAGACATTGTGGTGCACAAACCAGCACTATTTCTCCTATTCTCAGTGTGAATTCCTCACTCATAGGATCTATGCATGTAGCATAATGGTTCTTTATACCATGTTTTAAGGTTTTTACATAGCAATCATAACTGGAACACTGGAAATGTCTAATAAATTTTATAGTTAAAACAACTGTATTTCAGCTCTTTGCTTCATTTAAACAATTCTCTGGTGGTACCCTCTCAGCAAAAGCTATGAATCATGAACATTATAAATACTACAGAAACTGTTGCTGAACCTTCAAGTTTCCACAAAGATAAACTGACACACATTTAACAACATACCTTGTCCGTCTAGCTAAGCAATCATAAGAGCAAGGTAATTTAAATAAATGATATGACATTTTCAAGTTTTTATCTTACTGGTTAGTTCCTGATATTTTTTATTTGGATTGCTTATAATTTGTGGTGAATTACTATGATACACTGATACAAATCTAATTTGGATACCACTGACAAGGTTAAATCATTGAGCTGCAGAAATAGACTTTTCCATCAAGAAAGAGAATATGTGCCCCTATGGTTAGTTTAAGTCTTGTCATAAGCCAAGGACAGAAAACAAGAAATTAGGGGTTCTGTATGGGTAAGTGAATGGAAGGACCCAGGGGAAGCTGATAAATAGTCTGTGCTGTAATGGTGGCCAGAGTGACTGGGCAGAGAGGAGACTGAGGGTATCAAAGTGGACACAATGGCTTCTGATACTGCATGTATAATCTCAATGATAGGGAGCTCAACTGAATAGGAATTGTATACCAAGGCAATGGAGTCATTTGTTGGGTAGACTCTCAGGCAATGGGTGGAAAGTTGCTTAGTGATAAGAGTCCCAGATGCAAAGCTTCCAATCTGCCTTAAATGGGTCTTGTTCTTCTTAAGACTGAAAGTTAAAGATATTTATAAGATCAGTAACATCATGGTTTAACAGAAAAAGCAATGGTAGAAAGGCAGTTGGTATATTTTCCCTGGCTAATTTCTCCATCATCAAGTTAATCTGCTTGATATTAAGATTGTTATATTATTATGTGGTGCTGAGGATCAAACCCAGGGCCTTCCATGAGCTAAGTAAGCACTCTGCCACTGAGCCACAGCCCCAATCCAACCATGTACTTGTATTCTTAAAGTATTTCATAGACATCCCAATTATATCGGAAAAAATAATTATATTACATTTATTTCTGGGGATAATGTTACTGCTTTTCTTCACTGGCAATTTGAGCTGGGTTTGTTTTGAATTATAAAATGAGTGATCTTCAGCAAGCACTATACTGTTTTTTTTTTTTTCT